TATAAACTAAAGATTTTAATGAAAATCAAGGCAATGGTGCCATGGCTTAGAGCTGAGGCTTCAGTGGCAGATGTGGAAGTTTAAATCCCAACTCTTGTTCTAACTGGTTGTGTGAACCTGGACAAGTTAATTAAGCTCTGTACTTGTCACTTTTGCATACATAAAGAGGATGAAAGTTCCTATTGTTGCCTCATAGAATTGTTAGGAGGATTTAGTTACATAATGAATATAAATGTATATAATATTCTCTGGTGGCTCAGACAGTGAAGAATCTGCCTGCAGTGCCGGCGACCCGGGTTTGATCCCTGGGTTGGGAACATTCCCTGGAGAAGGGAGTGGCAGCCCACTCCAGTATTCTGGCCTGGGAGCTCCCATGGACAGAGGAGCTTGCAGGCTACTGTCCCTGGGGTTGCAAAGTCAGACAGGACTGAGAGACTAACTCAGAGGATAAGTGGACTCACCCCCTTCTCCCTGGAAAACATTATAGTATCAATCTTTAGCCCTGCTGTGAACATCACACACCCTGTTTTGGTGCTGACAAATTGTCTTTAGCCTTTTTCAAGCATTGTCAGATAAACATGTCATTGGCTTATCACTTTTCTTTTTTGGTTATTTAACCTTAAAAAAGAACATTAGCAAGCCAGAAATAGCCCATTTTGTAAAAACTGCATAGCTAGACAGATCTTTGATCCTTATTAGGGTAATAATCCATCTGTTATGGAACTGGATCAATTTGTAAATTAAATTGATTAATCTAGCAGGGGAAAAAAAGGGTCTTGACTTTTCCCACAGTAAGCATTTCCTCAAATGGTAGTCATCCTGAAAAAAAGATTTGGGAAGACTCAGTTTTCTGCTATTCCTTCTCTTTTTGCTCAACTCAGAAAAAAGACTAAATATCTATAAAAAAAAAAAAAAGAGTGAGAGGAGAGTTCAAGCTTTTAGATTCACTAGGGTCTGGTTGTTCCTGGAGGTCTCATATTTTTGACAGGGTTTAATGTTAAAACCTTTGAGTGACTTATCAGAACATTTTTACATGTGATCTTAGCCAAAAGGCTGAGAAGCAATATCAGAATATTTTTAAGACTCATTGGTTAGTTTAGTAAATATATAACTATGCTTGAGTTATCTTCTGCAATTAGTTCACTTTATTATTATTTTCATCCTGTCTGATAAAAAAAAATAATCTCCCAATGATTCTTCTAACAATGTGTGGTTGGAATAATAACTTCACATGCTGAAGAGTTTTGTGCTGCAGCTGAGAGGCATGTAAATACAAGCTGCTTATTTGCAAGAAGCTTCCAGATTTGCAATATGATTGCTATGGAAACCACTTAATGAAAACCTTATAACCATCTGTGTGGTTTGATGGATTTTAGTGCATAGCTGAGCTGTTTTTGTTTACTGTTATTAAAATGTTGAATGGAATATATTAACCCACAAACATTGACTATTTGAGATATTAATTAGTATTGTATAATGACATTGTGCCTCAACCCCCAAATAAAATATGTTTAACAATAAACCTCAATAAAACATGTATATATCTAATATATTGTAAAGTTGATTATAACCTAGAATTTGGTCACTTGTCCATATATATTTTTTGGATTATGTGGAGAGTTTTGCTCTGTTAGTAAATGATTATAGTAATAAGATTTATTTTCATGATTTTGGAACCCATTTTTTTTTCTTGATATTTATTGAACATCTCCCTTGTACCAGATTCTATTCAAGATTCAGTCTGAGTTGCTTTTTTGTAAGGCTAGAAAAGAACACATACTCCCCAAATTTGATTTTGTTGTCTTTTATATGGAAACTGTACTGTTAGCCCAAGATAAAATGAGTTGCTTGACTGTTGTTAAGAAAAATTGACATATGAAACACAGAAGGCTCTGCCCTGAAGATATCAGCACTAGGTTTGAAAAGGAGAAAGGAAATGTTTTTAATGCGGATCCTATCCTCTAAAATACTTCTTATTAAACATCTCACATGGATTTCAATTTGGATACTTCACAGAAAATATTGATAGTTAAGTAAATATTTTGAATATCATTCTGATAATTTAAGAGTATATTGTACACATTATAGACACATTTTAATAAAATAAGAACAGTTCTTAGGAGTAAATTCTAAATTCATTGACAACTTTGCCAAGAGCAGAGATTTTCCCGCTAAATTATTGTAATTAGTTTTTATAATATCTTGACCTTGACTTTGGGTGGTGAGTCTAAATCCCATAGTGTCTTCTTAAGAGCCAGGAATAGTGCTTTCTATATTGATGTGGTTATAGCTTTTGACTTCAGGATAAGCACCCTTAACTGTTTTTCAATTTACTTCTTACTATTGAATTTGTGTGGAGAAGGCAATGGCACCCCACTCCAGTACTCTTGCCTGGAAAATCCCGTGGACGGAGGAGCCTGGTGGGCTGCAGTCCATGGGGTCACTAAGAGTCGGACACAACTGAGCGACTTCACTGTCACTTTTCACTTTCCTGCATTGGAGAAGGAAATGGCAACCCACTCCAGTGTTCTTGCCTGGAGAATCCCAGGGATGGCGGAGCCTGGTGGGCTGCCGTCTGTGGGCTCCCACAGAGTCGGACACGACTGAAGCGATTTAGCAGAAACAGCAGCAGCATTGAATTTGTGACCAAATTGGAAGAGAGAGAATACTGGGGAGAGAAAGTGTGAAAAGTACAGAAAGCCTTCTCCTTCACCTTAAAAACATGAATGGTTTGTAAAATGAGATGCTTGGGCTAAATGACTGTAAATGTCCCTAAAACCTTTAAATTTTATATTAAAACACCCTATTAACCCATTTATGTTAGCTAGTCCTTGAGGTTTAGCATAAATGAGGCAATTGTTGAAAAGAGACAGGATTTAGTATTAGAGTTTTTGTTAGGTCTTCTGTGTACTCATTACTATTTGACTGACTATATTAAATTGACAGTTTTAGGTTTAAGTTAATCCATATAATGTGCCAATGATTTCCAGCTGTTCCTTATTGGACCTTTCATTCTTTAGTTGGAATTGAGTTACAAAAATTTGAAACAGTTATAATTGTAAACTCTCAAGCTTGATTTAAATGCTGGTTTTTATTTATCACCACTTTAAAATCTGCATGAGATGTCTCAATTCACATATGCGTTGTTGATCTCTTTACCAAACTTTCCAGTCTCCCCTGGGCTGCCCCGCCCCTATGTTAAATCTCTAGTGCCAGAAACACAACTCATTGTGGTTTCCCCCCTCCCCGCCACCCACTCCCTGCCACCCAGCACACCAGTTTATCTTGGCTCTACTCTTTTTAGTAATGATGTTTCCACTTCTCAGTTAACTAAACTCAAAACATGAGCCATCCTTGGTTGCTTGTTCTTTTCCTTTAGCCCTCCACATCCAGTCGGCAGAGTTTGTCTACCCTAGTTCCTTCCCCTCTTGGAATCATCTCCGCTCCATGTTCTCTGCCCCTCCAGCTCAGGACTAACTTCCCCTTTAGCCAGACTGGGACTGGTCTCTCTCCACGCCCCTTCTCTCGGTTGACTGGGACAATGAGATCAGATGGACATTGCCCAAGCAATTTCAGTCCTGCCCTTTCTCACTTCAGAAATTTGGGAGAAAGTAGTTAATGCTCAATGAAGATTTATTTGCCAAATTATTTAATAGTGATAATGACTGTATTTGTATTTTTTGCATATTTTTCTTTAAAATTGTGATTTTTCTTGAAATTGTGATTCTTTCTGAATCCAGCTTTTTCCTTGACATGCCATTTTGTTCCTATGTCCTGCCTTAAATATTTCTAAATTTCATATAAATCTTTCAGTGAAGGAAGTGGTCATATAATAAATATTCCTTTGTGAGTTAAAGAATTGAATAGTCTATTGACTTTGTTTAAAACTCTTCTCATTTAATTTTCAGAGAAGGCAATGGCAACCCACTACAGTACTCTTACCTGGAAAATCCCATGGATGGAGGAGCCTGGTGGGCTGCAATCCATGGGGTCACCAAGAGTCAGACATGACTGAGCGACTTCACTTTCACCTTTCACTTTCATGCATTGGAGAAGGAAATGGCAACCCACTCCACTGTTCTTGCCTGGAGAATCCCAGGGACGGGGGAGCCTGGTGGGCTGCCGTCTATGGGGTTGCACAGAGTCGGACATGACTGAAGCAACTTAGCAGCACCAGCAGCAGTATTTAATCTTATATCATTTTCTTTCTCCTATAACTTGAAGAAGGAGCGTGGTGGGGGAGTGTAGAAATAATATAAGGATATATATGAACATACCAGGATAAAGAGTATGGACTTTGGAATAACAAATCTAAATTTGAATAACAAACATTGGAAGTTTCTTTACCTTTTTGAGCCTCAACTTATATCTCTGTAAAATAAGGATTTAAAATGGTTTATCTATAAAATCTTGACATCTGTTATAGTGTATAGTAGGTCCTGAGTATAATTTGGGGGGAATTACCTTGAATGGTGAGGATCATTCTAGTATCTCTCTGTAAGTATCTGAAATATGAAGTATCTGATACTCAATAAATGACTTACAGGTTAACTGTAAGTGACTTACAGGTTTTATATCACACATTTTCTCTGTTCTGTTGATGTTTTAGGGACAGTGATTTTATTATGTGTGGCATTCGTGCCACAGTACAATGGGGTCAATCCATATAATGCTGGGTATCATTTTACTGGATTTTTAGGGCTTTTCTGGATTTAAGATGGTTCCAGATGAATTTCTGTGAGCATTTAAAACAAAACATGTGAAACGTTAGTACATACCTTAAATTTTATCAAGTCAACTGGTCAGGTTACTATTTGGATATAGCTATAGATTCATTTGTCCAACTTTAGGTTATTGAAAAAGGAATGTGGATGTTGAGTGGTTTCATTCTTTGAAAAGGATTATTTATGTGTTATAACTTTTAGTTTTGCTCTTAAGATGGGGTGAGTACTGTGTCGCTTGTACTGGACTTCAGCGTTCCATCTGTTGTTTATTTACAGAAGAGGAGGAGGACGGAGCTCTGATGAAAGTGGAGGAACAAAGGAAGATGAGTCAGGACAGTGTTCACCACACCACAGGTAATGAATTGGTGGGAAAAGCTTATTTTGGTCTTGTTCACTTTCCTTTTCATCACTTTCTCCCTACTCTAAAGATGTGTCCTCAGCTCCCTGAGGTTGGGTCCTTGGGTCTGGATCTCTTATAACTGATAAGCTGCTTAGACCCATTTAGGATGCATGAAAACCACTTGAGAAGGATTTATAAAGTAAGCCAATTTATACAAGGTATTCCTTCCTGAATTACTTTGTAATGACTCAATTAGCTTTCATTTCTGCACAAAGGAGATTTAGTTGCATAAATTAGCTTATCATCATTGAGGAAGTGTCACTGCTAAAGGACAGTTTATAGATACAACATGCAGTTGCTGTCAAACCTATAAGAATGTAATATAGACATCTGTGTATACTTTGTGCTTGAGCAGAACAGACTTCTGCCATTCAGAGACTAACAGGGGACAACAAGTTGCCCAGGGGACTAGCAATGTAGACATCTCTGAAAAGGTCAACTTGACACAGGCTCTGACAATCGACCCACAGCTCTGTCTTCTTTGATAAAAATCAGATAAACTTAAGACCGCTAATTGATCTGCAGCCTGTTTAAATGTTGGCCATGCATATCTTCATTGCATATGATTAACACAGAAAGCAAATGAATTGGGTAAGAAATGCCAGAGTCCAGTGACAGCAGCTTAAAAATGGGAAAAGGACACTGGTGGCCTAGAAGGCTAGGAAGGATATTCCGCTTATCCATTTCCACTTGGCACGTGGCCCCAAGTGCTAATTATGACTGAGACTGGAAAAATAGCTATATATGCTCTGTACAGAATCACATGATACAAGCAACTTTTCTTGCTGGTTGTTATTTCCAAATAGCAGGAGATAAACCGTATCTGTAGTGCAGGCATGAGGTTAGTTTTGATAAATCAGCAATTATTTTACACGGAAAGAAGGACTGCCTTCTTATCAGGACTTTACACCTCTTCATAGCCACATGTCAGCTGGGGCAAGGTCTGCCATATCATCCCATGTCCTGCAAAGAGCTATAGATGGGGGTCGCCTCCCCTTGCTGATATGGCCATACATCACTCTTTCAAGCTGTCAGGGGCAGGGTGGACAAGAAGTGTGTGTTCAGGAAGTAGCTTTCCAGAGTCCTTCCTACTGTGACATGTGGAAAGGAAACAGAGGCCTGACTTCCGGACCTGGACAGGAAGGCAGGAACAGGTTGGTGCATGAGGTTTGGGTGTGCTTTTTTCAGAAAGGAAGTGAGGACGAAGTCATTAGATGTGAGTCCTCTGTTCCTGCAAAATGCAGCTATAAACACCATGTCTGAGCAAAACCTTGAGGACGACATTCAATGGCAGTGGAAGTACATATGTTTTGTTATCATGAAGCTTCTGCTAAAAGCATGTCATTTTCTTTTTTTAAATTTCAGTGCTGGTGTGGAAACTGGACACATACAGATATTTTCCCCATAAATATAAGTGTTTTGGTTTAAAGCAATTGTATTTTTCAAAAATCCTTTTCAAGTAACTCTCTCCCAAATTTTTGCCTTTGAGGGAAGGAAAAACAAATGTTTTTCCTCAAAGGAATGCAATAAGGAGATCTAGCTTTTCATGCAATAGCTATAAAGCACTGCAATAATTCTTATCTTTAGTGACACGAAATCCTTTTCAAGCAACAGTTTTAATGCTTTTGCATAGCAGTGACCTTTGCTCTCCCCAGGCTGTCAAAGATGTAACACTAGAAGTTTGTTCGCCGTGCAGGGCAGTGAGTTGACAAGGGTGTTACTATCTTGCTGAGCATCGCATGATGTGAACTTCTAACCTTACTCAAGAATGTTACATATTTTTCACATTGACTGATTTTAGTAAAAAAAAAAAAATTCAGACTAATGTGAAATATGTAAGCAAAAACAGAATTAATCTTATATTTCTTACAAGTTCTTTCATGCTTAAGCTTGCATATATTTTTATATATATGAAAAAATACTCCATATGATTTTTTGAACTTTGTATAGTATGCTTATTTTTCTAAAATAGTTTTGAAACCTTTAACACTACTCAAGAAGACATTCTTCATTATCTATCATTGTGTGTTTCATCTATTGTCATCATGTTTTAAAAATCCTTTCATTTTTGCAAAACTAAATATCTCCAACATTTAGCTTATACTTTCGTAACAGTTCTGTTTTTATTACCCAGTGTTCTGTTTTTGCTAGTTTAACTTACAGGTGCAAGTACATTGTTTAAATCTTCCACAAACTGGCTAGTTTACAACATTATTTTCTTTCTTTACCTTCTTCTTTTAACCATATATGCCTCTCAGGACAAGAAACATAAGGAGATGATTATTTTTGGTAATTTTGAAGATGTTGATCATGACATGGATAGAATCGGAAAACTAATTTACAATATAAAAATTAATGTATGCAGTAAAAACAACTAAACAGATTTAAATTGTATTCAGAAAGTAAGCTTATTGATGGTGGTTAATGACATTGTACTCCATTCCATTTTTTGTTGTTGTTTGCAAAAAACACATCTCACACGGGTTATTTTTTCAGTGTACAAGTGGTGTTAACCTTTGTGAACCCACAGTGCTTCCAAGGATATCGATGTGCAATTTTTTGTGTATGTTTAGCCACACTTAAAATTTAGAATAGTAGGCAGAAACCAACACAATGTTGTAAAGCAATTATCCTCCAATTAAAAATTAAAAAATTATAAAGAGAAAAAAATGCACTGAAGAGGAAATGAATAAAAATCTAGTACAGAAAAAAAATTAGAAAAGTAAACCAGAGGAGCTTGCTGCTCTCTAAGGAGCAAGATAGTTCTTAATTTTTATGTCTAGAATTCATACTAAGAATTTTGACATTGCTTTCGTAAAGAGACTAAGGCTAATTAACATACACTGCCAGGTTATCTCCCCAGTTGTGATTCTTCTACATCATAACTAATATTGCATGCTGAAATAGAAAGAATAGTCAATTGTGTGTACATGTAGCTATGTGACGTAAACAACTTATTATTCTTTAACAGAGCTCACATATGAGAAACAGAAATGAGATTGGTCTTTGGATAACATCATCAAGATTACAGAAAGCAAAGCAGAAAATGCCTCTTGTTCCCAGGATTGCCAGATCGCTGGCTCTGTTGCCTCTTTACAGCAGTGAGATTTAATGAAATGCCCGTGATGCACATCTCGGGAGCAATGTATCTTGCACACGGTGGGGGTCTCTCTCCTCCTCCTGCGCTCCTGTAACTCCCATTAGTGTTAATGGGGGTTTCACCAAGTGCATCGAGGGGAAGAAAGACCCCAAAGTGATAAGGATTATGTGTTAGAAATCACCATATACTTTTTTTTTCCTCCTTCTCCCCACCACCCCACCTTTTGAAAATCTACTGAATGAAAAATTGTTCTGAGAGAATTTGAAAAAGGAAAGATTAGGCAGCAGGCTGAACAGCTGAAGAACCCACTGGGATGCTCCAGCTAAGCCAAAACTTCTCTTGTTTTTAGCCCACTTTCTTTCTTCAGCCTTTTGGGGTCGAGCCTGAGGCTGAGCAGCGTGGGGAACACACAGGAGCCTCCACGGGGCAACCAGCTATTTAGTCCTTTTACCTCCTGGCCAGTGGCTGTTGGGGAGGGCTTCGCCTGTGAAATGATGTCATCCTGTCTTTGCTCTAATTCCTTGACTTTTAAACTGACACTGACGGACGGCACGGGGCGCAACATTTGACCCAGTTAGCAGTTGATTTAATCTGACTAGAATGTTTCAACTTCTAAATCCCTATTTGTCTAAATAAGTGGTTTTTAAAGGAAATCAGTCACTTTATTATTAAGTAATTTTTTTCTAAAAAACATTTTGACAATGTTTGGAGTGATCTGTCCAGCCAGAGTGCCCTCTAGTGTCCATTCATAGAATTTCCTTAATATATGCTTTGAGGGGAGAAATGCAATAAGGGTGGCCACAGAGCATTGTTAGTTCTCGGTTGGATTCTGGGCATGTGTACGCCCTGCTGGCTTCAGTGATGAGTGCCCACATGCAAGAGCGAAGTCAGTAAGGTGTCTGTCTCTCTGTCTCCCTTCTTCCTTCTCTCCCCCCTTTCCTTTTGTCCTTTTTTTAATCCTTAGAAAACAAGGGGGAAAATTTAATAAGAGGATTTTTTCTGGTTGTGTATTCTGGTCCTTATTTATATTATAAATATAATGAAAAAGTAGTGTCTTACTTCCTAAATAGACTCCATATTATTCAGGTTTTCTTTAGGGCTTAAAAAAATGTTTCAGATACTAAAAAGAATTTTTAAAATTTCTAATAAACCTAAGACTTTGTGTAAATCACCAACTATGTGTAATAAGATGAATGCCTTCATGACACGCTAATGTGACCGACTGTGTTGGAATCGCCAAGGAGCCTGCTGTCTGAGAGTCATATAACAAAACTAAGATGACAACGCCGATCCACCATGCATCTCCACAGTTATCCCCTCAGAATCCAAAGATGACATTCCAGTGATGGAAGTTGTCAGCACATGTATGTTCTGCCTGGTTAGTGAATACACGGACATCTTATTGATATTACTTGCATTCTTTTTGCGTTAACTCATCAAAACTCAATTATCATGAAATTAAAAACAGGAAACAGTTCTCAGTGTAACAAAAGCAGCCAGTGTATTTAACTCTGCGCTGTTTCAGGCAACCCACATTGTATAAGTGACAAAGCATTTATTACCCAGTTTATTGTGGTATTACAGAATGGAGAGCGCTAAATAATCAATCAGTTAATGGTCTGTATGGCAGTTTGAGCACATCACATCCATTGTGCTTATGCTGTGAGAAGGATGAGCTGATAACTCCAGTGTATGTCGCATGTTTATTCAGAGTCTAATGTCCTAAACTAGGGCTGACAGAAATCTTGAAAAATGCACCTTCAGCACTGGCAATTTCAAAGTTGCTAAAATAGTTTGGAAATAACTTTGAGAGGCTTTGGGTACAAAAGTCCTCAAAAAGCCGGAATTATCTGTTAGGTCACTTTCAGTTTATTCTCTTCCTTTAACTAGTTTTGCATTTTAAAAAACTTAAAAAAATTTTTTGTGTGTTGTCTTGTTTGTTTATATTTGTATCTTATCTCCTTTATTATTATTATTATTATGCCCTGTGCTTATTTCTGTAGTTTCAGTACTAGTTCTGTCCAGTGTTTATTTTACAGCCTGTTTATCATATCTCATGCATATTGTTCATTATGCAGGAAAGCTGACTTACCTTCAAAACATGTTGTAAGTGGGCTCAAGTTTGTTATAGAAAACAGGTGGGAAGTAACTTAGGTGCTGGTTTGAAGAAGCTTACTGCAGTTGCAAGTTTTAGGTAAGAACAAGAGAGGGAGAGAGGAAAAAAGAGACATTCAAAATCAGATCTTTTTGAAAAGGATTCTTAGATGAGAGCAAGAAGTAGGATTCTTTTGTGGATGTAATGAAGTGTTCTTTGAATGAGGACAGATTTTTTTTTTTTAAGGCCGTTTTGGCCCTTTAATTACCATTGGTTCATTTAAAAATGCGGGCCCATTACAGGAAAACTAACTCTTGTTTTCTCTTTCTTCTTCCCAGGAGATAAAAGCACCGATTATGCTAATTTTTACCAGGGTTTGTGGGACTGCACAGGAGCTCTTTCTGACGAATTGTCATTTAAACGTGGTGATGTGATTTACATTCTTAGCAAGGTAAGCAGATACCCCAGTAAGACAACTGTAAAGGGTGACTACAAAGCTGGATTTTTATCTATTTGGATCGAGGACACTGGGGAAAAATGCCAACTGGAATTCTTCTAGATCCCTGTTAACAATTGGGAGTTCACCATAATTAATTATTTTGTCAAGTGAAATATAATCAAATTTTAAACACAATCAGATAACAGGATTCAACTTAACAGTGTGTTTACCTATCACTTCAGCCTTTGGCTCCCATCCACATACTGCCTTTTCCAGAAACAATATACTTATGTGAAAGTTAACATTGTAAGGTATTAGGTTATTTATTATGTTTTTCTTTCCTCTTCCTTTTTATTCTTCTGTGTGCTTATTCTGATTTTGTCTGCCATTCACTACTGGAAACACTGTGTTTATAGAACAAGTTTTTCATCTTTATGTAAATACATCGGGTGTTCCGACAATTTAAAAGCAATACTCTTCTATTCAGACAGGTGTAGGTAATTTTTTTAAGTTTAGCATAATTGTATTTGTAAACATAATATCAAAGTGTATTGCTATGAACTCATCCTCATATATTAAAAAAAAAATCATTGTTTCTGCCTCTTAAGACACTGGATTATTCAGAATCTTTCTGTCCTTAGATCTATCTAAAAGTCGAGTTTCTTAATTGATTACACTTCTAAAGACATGAATGGGTTCCTTTAGTTTTCCATATTTTAACTTTGCCTGCTATAATATGGGGATTAAAAATATCTCCCTCAGTCTGTTTCATGAGGCCACTTTAGAAACAAACAATATATAGAAACTATTTAAATATAGATAGAGAAATATTATATAAATTAGAAGTTTAGAGGTTTAGTGTTCTTTGTTGATTCAGTTCAGTTCAGTCGCTCAGTCATGTCTGACTCTGCGACCCCATGAACCGCAGCATGCCAGGCCTCCCTGTCCATCACCAACTCCCGGAGTTCACCCAAACCCATGTCCATTGAGTCAGTGATGCCATCCAACCATCTCATCCTCTGTCGTCCCCTTCTCCTCCTGCCCTCAATCTTTCCCAGCATCAGGGTCTTTTCAAATGAGTCAGCTCTTCGCATCAGGTGGCCAAAGTATTGGAGTTTCAGCTTCAACATCAGTCCTCATTAGAGAAATACTTTTAACCTTTTGGCAAGGTAGTATGACTTATTAGATACAGAGGATAATTTGGAAATAAGATCACTTATTGAATTTAAACACTAGTTGACTGGTGTGTAAAATCATACACAGAGAATCATAGAACATTTGAGTGAGAGACCTTTGGGCTCATCTGTCCATCCTTGGTTCACCGATAAGTGAACTTGTATTAAGAAAGTACCAGAGCCAGTCCTTTAACCAGGCATCTTGACTCCCAGACCAGAGCTTTCTGCTCTTGTTTTTTGTCTTGTGCTTCAATCTTCCTACCTTTCCCCCTCTCTTCTCCCCCACTCCCCTTCTTTCCTTACTTGTATTTAGTTTGTAACCATCATAAAGTACCTAAAATATGCAAGGGCCCATTCTAGGCACCAGGAATCCAAAAGAAATGAGATATAAACACTTAGAGATTACTGGGTGGAAATATTAAGTAAATACAGACAGCTATGATCATGGCTAGCTCAGGTGCCCAAGTAAGAGCTGTTTCTTGTTTCTCACAGTTCTCTGCTCACTAGTGTAAGTTTTTTGTTTTTTTAGAAGGATGCTTTCAGTTCTTGGAAGCTATAAACAGCCATGTCACAACTGTTGGATTAAGCCTACTACAGAGCGTTCAATAGTCCTGTGTTAAAATGACAGCTTTTTGAGTCAGTTACTTAATATAGAAAGCAAACTGATTAGTTTCAGTTCTTGACAAGAAACTTTCTTGGAATCATTCCTCAAATTTACTTAGCTCACAGTTTTCTTTCACCAATTTAGCTGCGTAAAATTCAATTGTGTGTAAAATTGCATATAAAATTAAAAGGTTGATTAGCTTCCACTTGGAATTTCAGACTGTAGGGATAAATGGCATGCAGCCATTATATTTGTGTGGTAAAATATGAAACTTAAAAGCCCATGTGGGTTTGTTCTTGAAGCTTTCTTTAACAGCACGCCAGGCTTCCCTGTCCTTCACTATCTCCTGGAGTTTGCTCAAACTCATGCATAGGGAGAATATTCTCCCATCTAAAATTTCTAAATGCTGTTATTTGGGCTGACCAAAAATACTTCCTTTATCAACCTTTCACATGATTTAAAGTTCCACCGTCAGCATTTCCTGAGATGCCTTCTAGAGGTGGGCATTTTTTCTGGAACGCATTTTGTCTTTTGAAAGAAGAGACAAGACTTTGTTAGCTAGCACATTGTCACCATTGGCTTGATGAGTAAATACCCATATTTACCCAGCTGTGGACCTAGTAGAATCAACCAGGTTGGTCTTAGTGAGGGTGAAAGAAAGGACACTTAGTTTTCTCTCAGTGGAATTTGAACACACTCAGGGCTATTAATGAGCATCTTAGCTATTTGTTGTCAGGTTGCTTTGAGGTTCAGGATATATTTGTGAAGACTTTTACTTCCCCATTTGGCTTTGGGTGAGTTCAGATAGGAACCTCTGGTGATTCTCTAATTTTATATTTGCTTTGTCTTTCAGTTTTTATCAAAATTTTGGCAAACGTAGACCATAGTTTAATATAATAAATTTATTTAATACATGAATGATGACAACAGTTTGAGTGCTGAATATCATAAATTCAGATCTCAAGGTCCTTAGTAGAGAGAAAAAATTGCTCAAAAGGACTTGTTTCTAGATCAAGGTGGAGCTAATGCTATGTATTAGTAGTTTTTTTTTTTAAAGTACAGTAGATAATACAAATCACTAGCATTATTATATACCTGGAAATTTGTTTAATCTTTCTCAGTTATATTTAGATTTCATGGTGATGAAATGAAATTTTACCATTTAAATTTATTTTTTACACCATCTAGTGGCTCAGAATGAGTGGTGCAGGTAATTGCAGCTAATGTGCACAAGCAAAATGATGTCATAAATCCAACTTTAAATCTAGCTATGGGTTATTACTTTCCTATCTCATGTCAATAAAGTATAAGCATTAATCATGAAAATTCTCTTCATCATTCTGAATTAAATGTAAAAATTGTATACTTAAGGAAGAATGCATTTTAAGGAGTCTAACAATATTTATAGAGACATAAAAAATGTGTACTTAGTTAAAAAAATTAGTTCCATGACTTGTCTAATAAAAAATACCATTTAAAAGATTTCAAAGAAATACAAGTTGCTTTCTATAATTAACTTATCTATAATTAACTGATCTATAGTTTGCAGTATATAATTATCATTGATTTGACTTACCTTCTGGAAGATTGTCAGTTCTGAAAACAGTCTTTTAAAAAAGGCACACAAGATAGTTTAAAAGATTCATTCTTTTCAATATAAATATTTAGACAAATCAAGAAATAAAATGGCATGTACTATAATTAAGAGTATTTTAATTTTGTAAATATAATGACAAAACAATTTAGCTACTTTGACAATCAGGCTTGCTTTATTAAAATTCTCCAATATAGTTTGATTTTAAAATTCAGCCTTTTCGGGTTTTTATTTTTCCTAATACTACAAGGAAGCCTTGTTGGGGTGTCTGCTGTGGGTGATTTATTTATTTCAAGCCTCTTTTGAGAGTTATGCAAATCTTAGCTTTCTTTTTTCTTCTGGTAAAAATCAAATGTTACAATAAAGAAGGCAGAGAAGGCAGATACTCTGCCCTTCCCCCTTCCCTTTTTAACATTTTCCAATTAGTAGCTGTCACGTGACCCCTGGCTGAGCCAGCCCTCCTTCAAAGTGTCTGGCATTTTCTTAGTTTTAACCTTTGAACCTCACTAATAATAAATTCAAATACTGCTTGCCTAAAAACACAAGACTGTATTGCTTACAATTCTTTTCATGTAACATCACTGCTGTTTTTTTAATGTGTTAAAACATTTTATATACTTCAGTAGTTCAGTGGAGATTTTGAAGTTTTTTTCCCTCCTCCCTAAAGTGAAAGATATTTATAGGGATGAATGAAAGTGAAGTACGTAATTTTTATGAGATGGTTAGGTAGCATGACCAACTCAATGGACATGAACTTGAGCAAACTCTGGGAGATAGTGGGGGACAAGGGGCCTGGTATGCTATAGTCCATGGGGTCGCAAAGAGTAGGACATGACTTAGCGACTGAACGACAGTGACAACTACCTTGTTAGTGAAGTTATCCTGAAATACAAAACCTAGTTTCAGATTTATTAGATGGGGAAAATAATATTGGAGGTTGAAAATCTTTTTATTTTTTAATATTTTTATAAATCAGTTTGTTTAAAATTGTGCTAAATCCTTCTACTGGTTTGCATTTCAATTTTGTTATCACCTTAAATAGACATAATATTATAATTAATAGTTTTATCCTAAAACTGTATTTATATATAAAGTTTTATAATTTTGATAGCAGGATCCAGGTTATATAGCTGTAGGCATATTCCATGCTACATACCTCTTGGGTTATGTTATTCTACTTGCTGTTCTGGATTTACATTGCTGTTAGTTTATCTTTCAATCTGTACTCACCAGTAAATTGCTAACCACATTCCTATTCTTACTTTTAAGGCAATAAATTATTTTTGGAGACTTAATGACAGAAGAGCTATGCTTCAGCAGGAAAGAGGCATGCTGCTTTGTCTGCTATTAACAGAAAAATAAAGAGAGTTAAGAATCCTGGAATATTTTATCTTGTTTATGACAAATGTGACTTGGGCTTTTTGAGACTTTTTTTTATTAAGTCAAAACAGAAAATGTAGGTTGTCAATGTTCACTAATATACAGTAAAAGGGCATTTTTTAGTGTGCATTGTTTAGAGTTTCAAGCATTGCCTCCCTTGATATCTATGACTTTTTCCAGTGATTGGTGAATTGTAACTGTCACTGATCTTTTGCTATGCATTGTGAAAATGTAAAGATTCTGTTACTAGGGCTATTTT